TCAGATCAAGTACATGTACACTTTCTTTCTGTAACAGTTTCAAAGCTATGGCCAGTGTTAACGATGTTGACATTGCAACATAAATATTCCTGAGTCAATGTGTATTCGATTGCCATTGTCATGAGGACACTTCAGTTTATCCCCTCATTGATTTGTGAAAATGTAACCTACTCATAAAATTTCCTGGTCTGAACTGGGTCCACTTATACTAAATTTAGTTAGTTTTTTTTTAATATTTGGCTCTTTTTAGTCATAGATATTAATTCACATACTTACTTCATTATCATTTCTATTAATTAAAATCGCTTAATTTTCTGTAATCTTAAAGCAGAGTGTTTACGTTATAAGAAATTAAATTATTTGAGTAAAAACTAAATCTTAGCGTCATTTTTTTTTTATCATAAAACGTCTTTACTATGGTAAAAATGAAAAGGGTAAAGATGACGAACGCTGATTGAATAAGAATTTTTTTAAACAATACAAATCAGTGAAAAGTGCATAAACACGAACCATGAGTTAGATCGGATGGCCAGGAGTACTAAACATCCCTTGTTTACATCCACTGTTAGCTCTGTGTATTGAACAACGGGTAGACAGAACATTCCGTGGTCAAAATCAATGAAAAACAAAGGCCTCACAAATGGTATGAAACAAGTACGCCAAAATACCCCAATGATTATATATATATTTTGAACAAATTCATTATAGCGACTATAGAATTTTGGAAATGCTAACTTTAAACGAAGTTGTTGAAATCCCTATGACATCAGTTTTTTCAGTAAGTAATCTGCCTTGGTTTAAAACCCGATCGTTTTCGAAACATGCTCTTGAGTATCGAATAAGTTGGGAAATGTAAACACCATATGCAGATGATAGCGGGGTATTACTTAGTCTACATAAATAAGGGAAGTTGACGATGGAAATGCTGAAATATGACATTTCTTTTATCGTACATACAATTCATTTGTTATTAATTATCATCTATACTCAGAAACACTTCCAAGTATAAAACAGATGTGGCAGAATATATGGTGTCTTTAATTTCATATCCATTGGGATATGTCGAATCTACATATAAATATCACGAAATGTCAAATTGAAGGTTACAGCAAGTGTTTTCTTCTTCTCATGTAGAATTTTTTTTCCTGATTCACAGGAATATAAGAGAAGCTCAGCTAATAAAGGACCACAATTAGTGCCCATTGGAATTCCAGCAATTCGTTTGAAAAGTTGGTCTCTAAAGACTACATAAATGTTTGAATGAGGGAATCCAGCATCCTTTTATTACGAACTCAAGAGTACTTGTAGATAGAATCAGTGATCTTTAACAAGAGGTATATGGAGATAACAAAAAGTATTCAACATCAAAGTTCATAAAACAATACAAAATAGGAGCAGAGCAAACACGGACCTCCGAAACATCAGAGGTGGGATCAGGTGCCATGGAGGAGTGAGCAAACCCTGCTTACCGGTCACACCCGTCGTGTGCTCCTTGTCATGATCAGGAAATAACGGAAAAAATCCGTCGTCAATTCAGTGTATAAATAATGGACTAACAATTAGTATGAAAAACGTCAGTCAGCATTTTACTCAAAAATAAATTGTATTTGCTGACAAGGTAATTGAATCGTTCTTAGAACTTACGAAATTATGACTTTAAACGAGACTGCTGATATTCTTGTTTCATCAACTTGCTTGTCGATAATTTACCTCATTTTAGATAGTTATTTTAATGATGACCAGTCACAAGATTTGAAAATTTCTGACTTCCGTTTTTATCGACAAGGAGTTGCGTTTTTACATTTTTGTAAACTGGAATAATGAAATGAAATAAATTAAAAAAATATCAATGAATAAAAATTGTAGCAATGCTTTCTTTATCACCATTTTCTTCATTTCCTGCTTATTCCGTAAGCAAAACACGGTTATCCATTTAGCTTAACTGTATGACAAAGTTGATTACAATAGTCTAGTATTTGAATCGTCAAATATAAAAAATAAAATACGACTGAAATACTTCAATCTTGTCAGAGTTGGAAAAATCCACTTAAACCGCTATCATTAATTATTTGAATAGGGTATATTTTGTTAAATAATTACATATCACTTGTATTAACTTTAAATGAAATTTATGATAGATTTTACATAATCTTTCGAGAAGGTTTATATATTGTCTAGAAGTTAGATATCGCATTAACCATGTACAGAATTTTTTCTGTACTTTCATAAATGAACCTCAATATTGAAATGTTCTGAATGACTCATATGACCAAGATAAAGCTTGAGCTTTTATGAACTCTTTTGTGATAAATAGTAACCCAAATGCCTGTGTCTATCCTTTTCCCCCACCCTTTCGAAAATTTTGAATATAGTATTTAAAATTTTCAAATTGGCCTTTATATTTCAATATCACTGTAAGTATATACTTTACTTTAAGCACTTTGAATAGTATGGTTTAAAAAAAATTATCAATATTTACTTACTTATAAACCAAATAATAAGGGAAATACTTAAAAATAAACAAGATTAAAAATATAGAATTTTATCTTACACAGTCATTAATGAAATATTTTATTATCAACAAAGACATCTTATTTTTCTTTAAACATATATCAAATTAAATATTTTCTATTCACAATATCTCTGAACTTTAATTAAGAAAGACATTTGGGAAATCTTCAATAAATTCTTAAATAAATCTATAGAAATTTAGAAATACAATCAAATGATTTTTCGATTATTTATTAACAAGAAATACACTATGAAATTATATTCAATATATATAATTCTATAGAAATTTAAAAATACAATAGAATGATTTTACGATTATTTATTACAAGAGATACACTATAAAATCATTTTCAAGCTGAGTTGGACATTAAAAGAAATATTGATGAGGATTTTTTGAAAAATGTAGGAGTTAAGCTTTGTAAATACTAGTATTAAACAAACAATGATTTTCTTTCTGTTTAGATATAATGCTTATCAGATTGATTCCTGATAATTAATCTCCTAAGTTTGGCTTTGCTACCATTATATAGAAAAATATTTGATTTATTATCATCTAGGAAATGATAATAATCACACACTACATGCTTTATGTTATGACTGGATGGTTGATCTGAATGACATGTTGCTTGACTAGATCGCCGATATTACATATAATTGAAAATCGGACTCTGATTGTTTATAATTTATTAGTACCTTGGTTGGGATCAACACTATTTTTGAAAATAAATGATCAAATGGTCTGCAATGACGCATGTAGTAGTCAAGTTAAAAGCACGATGTGAATCTTTGTGAAAAATAATACGGATTAGGAAAACAAATCAATAAATATATGTACTTAACATATCCCCAAAACAACCAATCCATAAAAACAAACTATAAGTTAATACTGAAATATATCAATAATATTAAAAATTAACAACCAAATACTTTATATGCTGTATGCTAGTTATAACACCGGGAGCTTTAATAAAATGACTAACTGGGGTTACCTCTCTCTAAATACAACATGTAAGCACTTATATATAAGTACGTGTAGATGTGTTTTTGCTTCCCGAAAGCTAAATGGAAATTTGACATGAATAACAATGCAATATACATGTATAGATAAAATTTGTCTTGAGTAGATCCTTTGAAAAGTTATCAGGTCATAAGCCTATATTTTAAAATCTAGTTGTAAGAAAGTCAAAACACAGAAATGACATAAAATAAGGATTTTGTACAAATAATAAATAGTATAAAATGACAATTACAACTTCCAACTCTTGAACGAGAGGGTTCAATGATCAATGGGTTATTTGAAAACCGTCAAGTTTGCTATCTTATGTCATATTTTCTAGAAACAACAACAGTGCTAGGGAAAATATCTTGTACTCTAAGATTGGTCTCGGACTGGTTGCCAAATACCGAATGAAAAAAGAACACTGGCGTCTTGAAAATATTTCATTTACAGTTGGTTAATGGTGAAAACAGCTTAGATCAACAAAAAAAAACTCACACTGTTTTACTTTTAAAATATAATCTTTAACAATATCATTATTAATACAGTGTATATCAAATAAATAATATTCATTTTCAGAGTATCTCTGAATTTTAATAATAAAATTACTATTGTTTTTTAATTACTGATATATTACAGTATTAAAAATGCACAACTAAGGATTCCTTATCAAAAGGAAATGTGACTGAAAACATTTGGCACTCAAAAGAATATCCTATGAACAGTAAATAAGTCCAGGAATCTGTAAAATAATATAACTAAAGGATTATAAAATTTTCAAAGGCTGATTTTTTAAAAAGAATGAACTGAGCTTGAATGATTTACTAGTAAATAAAATAAACACGAAAATGTTAATTTACATGTATATATATAAATATATAAAATATATATATATATATATATATATATATATATATATATATATATATATGACTGGCTTTGCAAAAGAAATCACAAAAAAATTTCATAGATCGGGATTTAACTTCTGCCATTTAAAAGGATACAAAAAATTTACTAATTTTCGTATATAATATTATAAAGCTCAACGCAATATATAAAAATGATAACAGTAATAAATAAACACATACATGTACATATCTTGACAACCCTTTACAATTAATATACAACAAATTATTGAAATTGATTTCAAAGCTGTCCGAAACAAACAACCACGTAATATTATGCTTTATGCTCGCTATCATTATGGTGTTACTACTTTCAAACAATGAATATTACTTTAATTAAATGACTTATCAAAATACCCTCCCAACATATAAAATGTGAGCACTTATTATTTACTTGCTACTTTCCTTGTTACTTCCAAAAAAGCTGAACAGGAATTTGACTTGATGGACAATGTAATAATGAGAATCACAACTAGTAAAAAATCAACAAATGCTCTCCATTATCATAATCAAAAATCGCATTTTTATGTACAATTGATTAAAAAGTTATAATTTGTAAATGACAAGTATAGCTTCCAAGATAAAACACCAAAAGAGAGGTTTAAATGTTCAGAGGGTACATTGAAACCAGTCGGGTTTATTGTCTTCAAGATTCTTGTGGTCATTAATTCCGGAAACTAGAACCGTGCTCGGAAAGGTCCGTGGTCTTTGTGGGTCTTGGATTGGTCGGGCGCTGGTAGCCACGTACCTTATGACGAAACCACATCGTCGTCTTGATGACGTATTCGGCTCACTTCCATGAATAAGCAGCCCATCATGGATAGACATTTGTCCTGCTTTGACAGGACATGGCTGAGCTAATTTCACATCAACCAACTGGATAGGAATCGACTGGTTTGAACTCAGCAAATTTCCTCCAACGGTGCAATCCTCATGTTCTACCAGACCATTCTGGTGAGTTCCTAGTTAGAAAGATAACATTATTATCATGTTAGTGTTTCGGTATAGAATATGAAATATAAGTTGACATTCATTGCAAATGAAATGATATTACCTGGGATGACTATCATGCATCCATTTTCAACATCGGCATCGTCCACGGCTAGCCAAGCTGTAACAACTCTACCCTCAATTCCCCAATATCTATAAAGAAGATAAAACACTTTCGTGGTGATGTGTTGATTGATCATCTTAAATAGTTAACTCATATATACTAGATAAAGCAGCTTAAATTGCTAGTGTCGAAAAGGTATATATATATATATATATATATATATATATATATATATATATATATATATATATATATATATATATATATATATATATATATATATATATTTCAATCTAGCTGAAACAATTTGTGTTTCTATTGCTTCAAGGCGTGCTTAATGCTAATGTCACTTTAGTTCACAAGGTTCATTTATCTATATTTGTGATCTGGTGCGGCCAAGCTTTCCGAAGCATCCAGGAATATAACAATATACATCGTCAAACCTTTATATTTTGATTGTTTAATGTCCTTTCGAGACTTTTTCGCTCATATTTTAAAACCGCCATTTGCCGGTAAAGGACAGTAATTCAACCTATACTCGAAATTCAGAGTCTTTTGTCAGTAAGGGACTTTTTTCGTATCACCACTTACTGCGACACAGGAAATCGTTTTATACACCGTCCCATCTGACGGACCGATATTCAGTCCCTCAATGGGATTCGAACCCGCAATCGTTAGGATCAACTCCTTATTCTGCGACTCTAGAACTAATGCTCTAACCATTGGGCCATTCAGGCGACCAGAACTATATACCGTAATTGTATCTATACTTCTATAGTATTACTTACTTCATATCTTGATGCCAGGCCACAAATGCAGAATCTTGGCCGTCAGAACACATCTCTGTGTCGGGATATTTACAGATAAATCTGGAATCCAGCAGGATAATATTTGGTCCTAGGATTTCTCTTATCGGTTTCAGTAGATTTGGGTGTGTGGCGACTTGTAGCACCCACTGGTGCTTAACGTGGATGTTGTGAAATGAATATTGAGATGCCTTCTTTCCTAAAATAGAGCAGTGTCCATATAATAAAAAATATATATATCAGTAAATAAGGTATAATTTTTAAAAATCATTCTTGAAACAAAATTTTATTATTATAAGTGAATATAAAATAACTCTTTGATGACATGCATTGAGAGAATGATCACTACTTGTGTTTTAACATGATTGGTAAATTGTATCATACCCTTTCAAAAGACATGAATAAACTTTTTTGTCACTTCAATTATCTCTAATGTTTTTCTAAAATAAAAAATAACAATGACAAATTTGACAGAAGAAATCGGGTTACCTGCCTCCCTTTCTAACTCATCAAAATTTTCTTGGAGTCGCTGAGTCTCAAATTTATCAAGAACGCCGACACAGGGAATGAAGCCATCCCGATTGTATTGCGAGAGGTAATCAACAGACATAGTGAATTATCTGAAATAGTTAGTATGGTTACGAGACGAATCCTGCACTTTTCCTCATTTAGAGAAACCTCTTTATATACTGTAGATCCCGATATCAAATGTTTTCGTTGTCATAGTCATGGGAATGACTTCAGAATTTTCTATGAATACGAGTGGTTAGTCCATATCATCCAGGAAGAAGATAAATTACTGTTTCTAAATCTAAAGGGAAAACCCAAAGATTTAAAATATCCTGAAGTCTGAATGAAAATTGGTAACTGTTCAAAGTTGAAATAGTTATGTTGATTGCATTTACATAGCGAAACATATTTGTTACCCTTCTACGTCCAAATAAAGGGCCCAAACATTCTATTACTATCCTTAGGTTCGCCAACAAAATACTTACAAAGTTTCTTCTTGCTGTTCTCGTGTGATTCTTCCTTGCTTCACTACATTACAGCCTTGAAATGTTATATACGTTACAACAATGATTTCTTCCGAAGTCTATTGATGCGCCAAATGGTATGTCCTAAGTATTTTCTAAAATGGTAGATAGTAGATCGTTACTATAAATAGTAGAAGCTATTTATAGTAATTAAAACTAGTACCGTCCTTTTTTTCTCTTCAGGACCCATTATTTCCTGCCAATAATCACTATCCAACCATATTTGTTTCCTCCAGGAGTCTAAAGCGTAGTAGCCCATTCTTGGTAAAAAGGTTGAATTCTTTCAACAATGCCATATTAAGCTTACCGTAGTCAATGTACCATCGAATACATCCATATTCTAAGTCACGAGTACAATTGATAAAGTCAAAACTCTAGCTGATGGTTCAACATCTCTTGCAATTAGAAGTTTGCATTCGACCCTTGCTGCCTAATTTGTCTACTTTGTTGGTCGTGCACCACTGTGCGTGATTTTTTTGCAATGCACTATTATTCTAAGCTTGTTCAGTGTATGCTCTAAAGTACACATGAACTTATATGTATTTTAATGCTATTTTCTGTTGTTTTGGGGGTCAGAATCTTGGTCGCATAAATGTTTTAAATATACGTAATGCTTATGTTTGTAGCTGATCTAAATTAGTATTCTTGGTCTGTAGTACCCTTACACTTGGCCTCGGATCGGCTGTAGTTCCAGAAGTTACCTCTTACATTTTTAGTTCTTGATCACTAACATTCATGACATGGGTTAACATTTTGCCATCTCTAGGTTCCACGATACATTTGCCTTATCTTCTAAGTTCTATCTTTTTTCCTTGATTCAAATCTGAATGAGTATACCTTCTGGACCCACAAGATCCCTGTTTTGTTATTCTCAAGCTACTATGGTTTGGAGATAACTTAGATCTCATCACTATCTTATTACACTTCTCGAGACTGATAACTCTGATCAACGAACCAATGTCAACAAATGAATTATTTTTAAATCAACAAACACTTGTTCATGAATATTATTTCAGCCCGATTTTTCAATTTTCTTCTATATTTGTACCTTTACACTTCCGCTTATAATTCATCCAATAGATTCTTACCATTTAAAAATGTACATTCTCAGAATTATATCATAATTTAACTAACTTCAAAAAGGTAATGGAGCTCATTGGGTAAAAGAAGTAGCAAAATGCATTCAAATAGTACTGGGGGTTTCAGGTTATCCCATCCTTAGGTCATCCAAGTCACAAGGTTAAAATTTTTTAAACATTAATTTGGAAAGGGGATTTCCTGGATGGCGGGCTGGGGTTTCCAGTTTGCCTCCATAACAGGGGATCAGTCATTAAGACCGATACAACTCTTCTATAAATAGCTTTAAAAAAGTCTTGTCATGTCTCACATATATCAAATTAGGAAATCAATCTTTTTGAAAGAGGTTTTAAGACAATATTTGAGAAATATCTTTTGAAAAATGTGTAAAACAATTTGACTTTATTCAGGCATTATCTCCCAATAAACCTATCTACTAGAGTGTATTTCAAAGTTACGAATTTTTTTTTTCTGCAACTAATGAAAGAGATAAAGAGCTATTAGTTTATAATGTTATTCAAACCAATCTGCAGATTTAAATTTCTATTTATTTTGTATGACAAGCGAAGGATAGAAATTTTTAAAGTAAAACATTTTGTCGTCATAAGAAGAATTAAGAATTTTGTATGAAAAAGGTTATAACAGTTTCAGATTGGGGGGCGTCTCTAATAAAATTCAATTAAAGTGAGCAGATTTTTTATTGAATGTCCTTTCTCGCAAAAATTTTGATATAAGTATTTACGGAAAGGAATTGATGAGTTATGTTTTGACTTCATTGTAAATAAAAATTTACGATTAAGTGAAGCCAAACGATCACATGCTTGGTAAGTGGTCGGGGGTAAGAGTATGGAAGTGAGCAAATGTCTTCCTTGTTTGCTATAAATATCCTGGAGGTAAGTCGATTTCGGAAATCTGTCACATGTCAGTTTTTATATAAAAACCACCGACAAACTAACTTTCGATTAATCGTGTGAACCACATCCAAGATGACGGTATGTAAAACGGTTTCATTCATACTTATTGCTAAATCTCCAGTATCGTACCTTAATTGAAATGTTGATATTGAATTGATTTTAAAATAGAGCTCAACGCATATTGGAAAATTGGTACGACAACCGTGCTTTGGTTTCAAGGTACTCAGAAGAGCTGTGCATCAAGGAGCCGAAGCACAAAGTAAGATTGTTTCCATCTTGTCTTCTCAAATTCAAATGGATTTCTATACAAAATTTTGATAAAAAAAACTTTAACTACTTTAAGTCAAAATCGATAATTTGTTTAATTAAAAAAAGTTGAAAAAAGCTTCTTTTAAATATTTATTTGCAAAGGGGATCCTTCGTTAAAAATCACAACTAAATGCAGATAAACAAAAATAAACCAGTCATACTCGTATTAATTCTTAAGTTTTGGTCTACATTTCACAATAAGAAGTTAACATTTTTAAATAAAAAATAACTTACAGAGAATTTTGTTTTACTTCGTAGCATCCGTGATTGTGCTGATTTTTGTCTTTTCCTTTATCAAGGAACAGCGCCAAGAAATAGCACTTGATACTAAAGTACATAATTTCTGTCACATGAAAATAAAGAATCTGATATACACGGACACAATTTAAATATACACGGAAATTATGCATATACAGTGTATAATCATATTGTCTTTCAATCTAATTATCGTCTGTCAAACATACCATGTAAATCTCCTCCTTACACTGGCGAGGTAAAGTTTGACTTTTGTCCATGTAACATCCTTTTCCTATCATGATGTATTGTCTCCCAAATTTCTGGAGGTACTAATTATATGTCAATATATATTAGTTTTCTTAAAGCATGCTTAGTGGTTTCTTTGTAATCATTTCTCAATTTTAAAAGTTTATTTGCCATATATTTAGGTGTTACTTCTGTCATGTACTCTGACTGTGAAAGTTTTACTTGTTTACCCATTCCACACTTTATATGTCCCTTTAAACTTCTTGATTTTTCTTAATACTGATACCCCGCAAATATGTCGTAAAACTGTCTTGTGTCTAAGGCACGAAATTAAGTCTCTTGTACAAGATAGACTGAATCTATATAGTTTTTTTTATTTCAAAAATAATTTAGCAGCTCCATTAATATTCCTTCGAATTTTTTTTTTTTAAAAAGACCCATGGCAAAATTAAGACAAATGTCAGTTTACACCTGGAAATAGTCGACTGTCGTTAGTATTATGTTCTTGTTTGGAGCTGACAATAAATGTAAGGTAAGCAAACGTAACTTAATTGTGAATTCACCCTTTTAACTTTTTTAATTAAAGTTATTTTATTTCTGACAGTACAAGTTCAAAGTGCTCCAGAAACTTCTCTGTCATCTTGGACAGCCCAACATGTCTCTAATTTTTCAACAAAATATCTTTCTGACCGTGTTAAATCTCGAAGTAAAAGAATGATACTGGACATTCTTGGGGTCGGCCTGATCGGATCCACGACTGTGTTCTCCGCAGATCTGCAGCATTTTGTAGAAGTTACAGACAGGATCAGCACAAGTGAACCAGCGCTGATATGGGGCACAAACAACAGAAGAGCTTCACCAGCGATGGCAGCCTACATCAACGGATCGAACTGTCATTCGATGGATTTCGACGATACTTGGCACCCCGCTACCCACCCAAGTAGTCCTATTTTGCCGACCTTGCTTGCCTTGGCCGACTTTCTTCCTGAAAAATACAAACCGTCATTGGAAGATATTTTAGTTGCTTTCAACTGCGGGGTTCAAATCCAAGGCGTTTTACTAAGATGTTCTTCACAATCCAAAAATATTCCAAATAGGTAAATATATTAAGTTCTTTTCTTTTTGTTTTGATATCAAATTTTTCCGTTCACTAGCAGAACCGTATCCCGATAAAGCACCATTCACTAATGAAGGTTTTATTTAGTCTTCGTAATTATTTCAGGCTACATCCACCAGCCATTGTTGGCGTTATGGGAAGCGCTGCTGCCTCAGCCAATCTTCTTGGATTGGGTCCAAAGAAATGTCTCCATTCTCTTGCAATCGCCGCTTCATTCGCTGGAGCACCTATGGCAAATGCTGGAACGCTTACTAAACCACTCCACGCTGGAAAATCAGCCCGGAGTGGGTTGGAGGCCGCCCTTCTAGCCGATAAGGACTTTGAGGGAAACAAAAATATTCTTGACATGGAATCGGGATTTGGAGCTTTCTTCCCAGACTACGACCCAGTTTCCCTTTTACAAGAAGTGCAGATGTCTGAGAAGCTTATTCTTCACGATCAAGATATAGCCATCAAAAGTTACCCTTGTCATCTCGGGATGCATTGGGCGATTGATGCCTCACTTCAAGTCCGAAAGCAAATAACAGAATATTATGGAGAATTAGATGCAGGTTTTGTTAAATCTGTGGAAATCTTTGCTCCCAAATCAAAATACATTAACAGACCTGTTCCCATAACAGAACACGAAGCGAGACATTCATTTCAATTCACTGCCTGCTCGGCTCTAATTGATGGCCATGTTTCCTCCGCCACATTCAAATTTCAAAATATCGAACAGGAAAGAAAAAATCTGTATACTTTACTGCGGAAAACGACCATTATTAATCCAAGTGACAATATGCCGTGCTTTGACACCATGTATGTAGACGTTTTGGTTACACTAAAAAATGGCGAGAAATTTAGTGCCCGGTGCAGCGAACCTTATGGACACTGGAGAAATCCCATGAAAGACGTTGACGTGAACAAAAAGTTTATGGAAAATTCTAGTCTGCTTCCTATGTCTCAACAGGAAAAAATTATAAAACTTGTTAGTCAAATGTCGGCAAAGAAGAAGTCCAACGAACTCTCCCATTTACTGAGCTTGTAAAAACGGTTTCTCTTGCAGAAACAAATTATAATTTGGTTGTGAAAACTTTTACTGAAAAATTTAAGATGGTTTCACATATGTAATAGAAAGATTATTACTACTTTTTCAGCAATCACTATTAATTCTTTGAATTTTGATTTGTATGATATTTAAAGCAATAAATTAAACAAAACTATTTTACTTTTGTTATTTATAAGGTATGCATGTCCTATGGAAGTAACCTTTCTGTTCATACTATTTTGGAATAGTAAATTTTTTTTATGAATTAAGACATGAACGAACGCAGATATTCATAATTCTTGGAGTGGTGTCTTTCTTCATGTAAGGAATGGAGGTATTGCAAGCGTTGTAAAACGAATTATTTACAGATATCTTTCATTATCATAATCTTTTACGTTACATATTATCATATCATTATCATAATCTTTTACATTAATCCATTACACCGAATTGAGAAACTTTGATTTTATTTACAAGATGATATAAAAAAGATGTTAGATATCCCTATGGCAAGCCCTTTTTCTATTTATTCGTGAAATAAAAATTTTCTTTCAATAAAAGAAATATTTCTCCAGCATAGAGAGATATCTCTTTAGCTTATAGAGATATCTCTTTGACCAATAGAGATATCTTTATAACTTAGAGAGATATCTCTTTTACATAGAGAGATATCTTTATAAGCTGGAGAGATATCTCTTTAAGCGAAAGAGATCTCTGTTAAAGTTACAGAGATATCTCTTTAACAAGGTTAAAATACATATCTTTCTTAGTTAGATAGATATCTCTTTAGATTTTCAAAAAAGAGATATCTTTTTTTCATGAAAGAGATATCTCTTTTCCAGTCATCCATAAAAAAAAAATTTAATTCTTCCTTTCAAAACGAAAGCGAAACAGGAAGTAAAGTCTCTGGAAAAATTTCGCTGTAAGAAGTAAAAAGACTGAGCATGCAATATCCAGAATAATATATGTACTATGTGGACAAAAATGCTATAAATCCTTTGTTTGAAACAATGAATAATAATGGCAACTTCGTTGATAAAAGTTTAATATTCAGGAAAACGAAAGTAAGCATAAAATCTCAAATGCAATGGACCGAATTTTCTCACCTTATGAAATAATCAACTATTACTCATTTGAAATCTACGGTAAACAACACTGAATTACTTTTCATGTTTAGTAAAGCTATAATAATGTAGAATATCACGAATACGTCGAAATTTAAAAATACTTTAATGTACTTCCGTTAATTAAAAGCTTACTTCCGGTAAAGGGAGAAGTCATTTCAAATGGAATTTAAATAAAAAAATAATGAAGAGAGATATCTCTTTGAAATAAAGAGATATCACTTTTTGCTCTAGAGATATCTCTTTCACTTTGAGAGATATCTCTTAAGATAAACCAAGAGAGATATCTCTTTTACTTTAAGCGATATCTCTTTAAATTGGAAAGATATCTCCAAAAGTAAAAGGGATATCTCTCTAGGTAAAAGAGGGGAAAGAGATTTCTTTTTAACGTTCATAAATATCTCTTTTCACGAAAGAGATATCTCTCAAGGAGAAAGAGATATCTCTTCAAGTGGAAGACATATCTCTCTTATAAAAAGAAATACCTCTATAAGAATAAGAGACATCTCTCTAAGTTTAAGAGATATCTCTTTCTCAGAGAGATATCTTTTAAAAATAAGAGATATCTCTTTAAGTTGGGAGATATCTCTATTTTATAAGAGATATATCTCTAAAATGAGAGATCTCTCTGTAATTTTAAGATCAATCCGAATCCCCGTTGACAGTATCTATGCAGTCTTTGAAAACCAGATCTTTCAGCAATTTGTTGGATCCGATGGAAAAAATTATGCTCCCTTATACGCCGACCTGATTTTATATTCATATGAAGCAGATTGTAGATCTATGCGAACACTCTTGCTTTGGCCATCATCTCAAAATAACGATATACAACCAATATATTTTGCAAATGCTTTTCATAATTGAGAGTTTTTGGCTTCAATTAATCATTAGGAAATCAAATCCTACATTGTTGGCTAGGGCATACGGGTACACCTTATGGACACTTACTTAAGTCTACAAAATACTGAAATTTACTTAAAATATTTGTAGAATCAACAAAATATGTTAATTCACCACAAAGTGAAAAATTAATGAAAGAAGACATGGGATCCCATTTTTTTATAGATAGATTCAGAAAAAAAAATCACATCCTAAATTGGGAAGGGCACACACATTTGTATGTACTGATATGAACTTTTATCAGGACTGTAACTAAACACAAATTCCAGTCAAGATAACGGACATTTTTTGTACTGCCACCCGACTAGGAAGTTGGAGAAATGTTTATGTTTCATTCATGACATTTACTTTTGCACTCACACAAAGGTACCTAGTTCCTTTCATGGAATCTTTCAAAACTGACTCAGAGAAGGGGGTTTCCGATTAAAAACACTGAGGCAACAGAAGAATATCGTCGATTCGCCCACAAAGCCGAATTATGAAACTGAAACTAAGTTTAAACATATCAATTATGTAACTCTTCTTTGTGAATTATCCTTAAATGTTATATTTTAAAAGAGAGATGTATTTTTGCTTTGAGTCCTGTTTTATAATGGAAAATATTTGTAGCTGTAAATATAAATAAATATTCATACCAGATTAATGAGAACAGAATGCAACCTTTAAAAAAATTAATTGTTGAAGTTTTTATTTCGAATTCTTTATTTTGTTTATTTGTCATATTCCTTATTTCGATGAATTATATAATGAATTGTCAAGTTACATGTCAACAAAATTAATAAAATTCAGCTTAACTAAATATTTATATTTTTATACTAATAATCTATAGTACATTAATAGTACATGACATGTCTTAATAGTTTGTTTTAGCAAAATTTATCAAAGCTTACGGAAAAAGGCTTGGTTGTTTGGTTGAATGAACACTGTACATATATACACATAAACAGTAATCTTAATTATAACTTCGTTCACAAAAAGGAAAAACTATACATACACTTTCATACTGGTTTAAAATATATGTGAGTGTGTGTTAGAGAGATGGGCGTGTGTACAGGATCTTTTGTTTAAACGAAATGGAATAATTTGTCATAAAGTATCTGTATCAATTGCTTCCTAGTACGTTGAAGCGATAAAAATAATAAATTACAAAAAAAACTTTTAACCCCTCTTTAGTTTCTTTTATTTAAACATATTAAAATTATCATTTACAAAATGAAGGAACTCCAAAAGACAAAATTATCAACTGATAGACAAACATCACGCCACTAGCTAACCGAGACATTTGCAATGATCTTCCTCATTGTCTAAATTCTGAGACCGGGAGTGTATCACATTATGTGATTCATAAAGGTCCTGATAATATAAAATATGTCATTTATGAAACTCCTGATAATATGAATTAAATGTTCGTCGTGGAACAAACAGCCAAATTTTATTAAGTGTGCTTATTCTTAAAAATGTGTTCATATAAAAAATAATTTTGAAATATTGTTAAAACTCAACATAGCTGATATAAATAGGATCATTTTTCTCATGCTTCATTTGTTGCTAACTTTGAAAATTACAATCAACCACGCTCTAAAAAAGCTTGCAAAAGACAATTAGTTTAACAAGCTACATCTTCTATCTGGGTAAAAAATTGAACCCTTCATGTTTAAGAACAATTTCTTTTAATGATTTACTTTTTTCAAACTTCTGGAAATACCAATGACGAGTAATTTTTTTCCCAAAAATACTTTAAGTGTTCTTTAATCATTTGAATGGTTTATATGCAAGAATTTCTAAAATTAAAGGTTGGTTTAAAAAAAACTTTAAAGTCACGTGCTCTATCTGACAGTAAAAACATGTTTCTCGTTTCTTCATTCTTCTGCGGTTTAAATGTTCCTTTAGCTTTTGAACGTTTTTATTCAATTTGAAACTGATACCCCGCAAATATAGGGAAACTTCCTTGTGTTGGAATGCTCGAAATTTAAGTCTCTGAAACAAGGTGGACCTGATCGCTGTCAGTTTTATACTGATAATTGTGCAAAGCCATGGATATTCTTTTCGCATAAATTTATAAGAGACTCTTAGCAAAATTACACAGTTTTCAGTTTATTTAGAAATAGACAGCTTTCATTAATATTATTGCATTTTTTTAAATCCGTACTTTTAGCAAAAGGCAATTACAGAAACAATATATGTTTATAAATGAAGGGCGAGTTGGACTTTGATAGCCTCTGGAGAGTTGTTTTCCCTCTTTTTTCTGTCCAAATGTTAAGATGTGAAACCGAAAGTACATTGCAAATGATGGAATAGGAATCTTGTCTTTACACACGCCATGCTTTCAATAACAGCCTTTCAGAGACCATTCATGTCCAACTTGCCTTTCATTGATCAACATATATTATTTCTGCAATGATAGTTTTCACAAAAAGTACAGAATTAAGCATGTGTATTTCTTTGAAAATATGCAAATTTTTAAATAAATTTTTTCTCAAAAAATATATATTTTTAAATATTTGTTTTAGTGATACTTTCTGCCTGTTAAGGAATGCTATATTTATAAACTGTAAAAGTTTTACCTTAACAAACCACATAGTTTGGAAGCTATTGTAAAATATATTTTTGGACATGTTGACCTTTGATGAAACCTTAATCGTGAATTAACTCTTTGTAATTTTTTAAAACTAAAATTATTTTGTATCTGATAATATAAGTTCGAGTTCAAAGTCTTCGAGGGATTTCTTTATCATCTTTGACAGCCCAATATGTCTCTAATTTTTCCACAAAAATTCTCGATGTAAAAGAATAATATTTGACATTCTTAGGGTCGGTCTGATCGACTCCACGACTGTGTTCTCCACAGATCTGCAGCATTTTTGTAGAAGTAACAGGATCAACAGAAACAAGAACAGAGGAGCTTCACCTTCAATGGCGGCCCACATCAGCGGACATAGAACTCTACAACAACCCCAGAAGTTCTATTTTGCCGACCTTCTCCAAATTAGAAACTCTCTGCTGCCTCATGCAAACCTCTTGGACTAGGTCCAAAGATTTGTCTCCATTCTCTTGCAATTGCCGCTTCATTTGCTGGAGCACTTGTGGCTAATGCTGGAATGCTTACTAAATCACTTAATGCTTGAGAGTCAGCTTGAACCGGGTTGAAGGC